ATATTCATCCAGTGGTCCAGGACATCAGGTCAGTTGGGACTCCTCTTTCCTCTTGTCCCAACTGGAAAGGCTTAGAACACTTTGACACCAGCATTCCCATTCTCCATCAGGTTGTATTTTAAAATCATTTAAAGTGGATGGCTTTGCATACATTATAGGAATTTCCGGAATTATGTTGAAACTGTTTTTTCTTTACTGCAAGGTGTCTCACATTATCCCACTCCCATTTGCCCGGCACTAGTCATGCGCGCCATTCTGTTTCTTGCCTTGTTTTCATGCAAAAAGAAATATAATTGTGCCTCTATACGTTTTAATTGCGTGCCACGAGAACTGTATTTCATACTAAGATCTCACGACTGCTCCGGTTGCTTCCATCCCCATGCGTGGCCCTTCCTATCTCCTTGCCCCCCAACAACAGCGCAGTGAAATCCTCAACCGTATGTCCAGTGCAGTGCCTCTCAGACACCTGTCGCCTCACGGGGTTTAAAATGCAGGGTCTAGCTCAGCAGGCCTAAGATGGAGCTGTCAAATTTGATTTGGGGGGCGCAGGGAGTGTTTGCTTTTTTCTTTCTAGACGTGGTCTCATGTAATCCAACCTGGCTTCAAACTCGCTGAGGAAGGCCTTGTACTTTGGTTCTTCATCTCCCAAGTGGTAGACAGAACTACAGGCAAGAACTAGCAGCCCGGTTTGTGTAGTGCTGGAGATCAAGGCTGAATGCTGGGCTAACACTACCAAATGAGCTGCATCCTTAGCCCCTGAGAGTCTACTTTTTGCTGTTAAGTTTTATTTCATGTGCATGAATGAGTGCTTGCATGCATCTGCACCACATGAGTGCCTGGTACCCACAGAGGAGGAGGGGCATCAGATCTCCAGGAACTAAAGTTACAGGTGGTTGTGAGCTGACATGTGGGCTCTGGGGACAGAACCAGGATCCTCTTGAAAGAGCAGCAAGTGTTCTTAACTGCCGAGTCATCTCTTCAGCCCCCACAGAGTCTCTATAGCTCTAAAGAGCTAAGGGATGACTATACTGCTCTTCCCGGGACCACATTTTGGAGATTGAGCCCCCCCCCCCCTCCCCGAAGACCTCTGCGAGAATTCATTTCGTTTCTGGGTTATAGGATGAGTGTCCCATGTGGTAAGGATTGCCCATCTGCTTGCCAGTTTCACTGCATCGCCCTACCCCACACCAGCAGGTCAGGAGGGTGGAAGATGTATTTTGATGTGAGGGGAGGGGAAAGGCCTTTTGTATTCTCACCTGCACTGTGTTCCCTGCCATCCTGTGCATATGGTTCTTGGTTAAAACCTTCTCTCCCCTTAATTAGAATGGTACCAGGTCTCTGGAGTGATGTCCCTGGCTAGATTAGTAAAAGATCCAGGCTAGGCTTCTTAGTCTCTATTCCCACCACAGACTACTCTGAAGTCCCAGCCCTCCAGATATCTAGATAACTAGACACATTTGACTTATGACATCACTAGTACTTAGCTTCATCTCTAATGTGGATTTCTCCTTAGTCACCTGTTAGAGTGATCTGGGACTCAAACAGCCTGACCTTGACACTGAGGAGTTGCTGTCCTGATCCTGACAAAATAGTCACAGTGTATGTACATATGTATGGACATATGTACGTATGGATGTGTATATAGTGGTGTTAGGGGCTAGTTCAGGCACTTCACTTTGCAAGCCTAATGCCCCAAGTTGAGTGTCTGTTTTATGTTCATGTAGAAAATGAAATTTAGAAAGACCTATCGGGGCTAGGAATGTAGCTCAGTTGGTAGAATACTTGCCTAAGATGCAGGGAACCTTGAGTTTGATCACCAGTACCAAATAAACCAGGCATGGTGGCACATCCTTGTAATCCCAGCCCTTGGGAGGTAAGAGCAAGAGGATCAGAAGTTCAAGATCATCCTCAGTTACATAGTGAGTTTGAGGACAGTCTGAACTACATGAGGAGTGTGTATGTGGCTCTGTGTGTGTGTGAGGAGTGTGTATGTGGCTCTGTGTGTGTGTGAGTGTGTGTGTGTGTGTGTGTGTGTGTGTGTGAGAGAGAGAGAGAGAGAGAGAGAGAGAGAGAGAGAGAGAGAGATATCCATGGAGCAAGAATGTGACAGGACTAGGCTTACAGCATGGTAACCACAAGAATAACAGCATCTCCATGTCTTGCCTTGACACATGGTCCTATTGCATGGGGAACTACAAAGAAAAAGAAGGGCTGGTTTGGGATTTTAGACACTGAAACTAGAGATGTCTAACCAATAACATATAGAGTTCCAAACTGTAGCAGGTTTTGGCCAAAGTGAACCATGATATAAGGTGCACGAGTGTATGGGTGGCAGAAGAGTTTTTTGGCCTAGAGCTTCTGAAGCAGAGATTTTAAGGTTAGGTATAAAATAGAGTTGGGAAGCAGCAGGGAATGGGTAGGGGGTCAGGCATGGATAAAGACTGTTAGTTGGGCCCTGGCTGTGGGCAAACTATCTAACATGCCTGTCACCTTATCTGGTAACTAATGCTCAAAAATTTTTTGGTAGGGTCATCATAGAAACCACACTCTGAGGAAGTATGGATGATCCAAAACCTTCTGGGATGTGAGCAACTTGCTTGATCAGTTTTGGAAATCCCTGAGTTATTTTCCTTCTCACACGGTTTTGTAAGCCTTTCCTGGCACCAGGCTCCAACCCCAAGCATTGCACAACAAGTATAGTTCACTATCTGCCTAGTTTGAGGTTGTGAGACACAGCCTTCTGCATTTGGTCCACACCATCCATTCTGTGCTAGCTATTTTAGGGCTGAGAGTCTATCTATGACAGAGAATTTCTCTGGACTCCTAGAGAAACTTGCTCCATCACCAAGCTTCTGGATCAAAAGGCCTTTTGAACTTGAAGAATGTTCTTGAAGCCAAAACAGCTTAACTGCTTTTTGGCCTTACAAAGTATTTTTCATAAAACCAGGCATGGTGGCACAAGTTTTAATCCCAGGTCTCTAGAGGTGGAGGCAATAGGATCAGAAATTTAAAGTCATCCTTAGTTAAGTTTAAAGCCATCTCAGGCTTCATGAGACCCTGTCTCGAAAACAAAACAAAACAAAGTATTTTGTAAATAGATACTAACTTTGGATCATAATAATCCTATGAAAAAATGGAACACACTTAACACTGAGGTTCAGAAATAATGAATTGGCCAAACTGTGGGTGTCTGAAAAGGGACTTGTTCTTTCATAACAGATCTGGAGGCTCCGTATGTGTGTAGGGGTGGAGTGTATGCAGATGCACAAAGCCTTGGGTTCAATCTCTAGCATGCGTGCACACACACACACACACACACACATGAAACTTACTACGATGACTGATGATTGGCTTATTTTTCATTTCTGGGAGTTGAGTGAGGTGGGGTCCCCATGGTTTTGGACCAGGGCCACCCCTATCTATCTATCTTTCAGTAAGGCCCATTCCAGAGTCTTCTATTCTCCTCCTGGAAGCAGAGAGAGAGGATCCTTGACAAATGTACAGAATGATAAGACCAGGGTTATGCAAGTGGAAACACCCAGGAAGCCTGAAGCAGTAAAGGCTGAGGTGGCAGGACAAAAAGATGCTGCCTGGGAGACCAAGTGACGGACGTTACCACTTCTGTATGGGTGTTCTCAGGGGCTTGGTCAAGCTCTTGTCCTTGGCTAAACCATTTGTCCTGTCCATGACACCAACATGAGTTTAAGTTAGATGGCCCAGATGCCAGGCCCCCACAAGTGCTTGTGATTGGGGGTTTGAGAACTGTTGGGGTTCCACTGCCCTCCCTCCCCACAGGACTCAGGCCTTTGGCCGGGGCTCAACAGACACAGGCAGTAAGATGGGGTTGCCCTTCTATTGGTCCAAGTCCTGAGCATAGCCTGGGTGAGTCATGGAGGTAAGGAGGCCCACGAGGCTCAGCAACGTGGAGAAGAGCAGCAGGAAGGAGGCCGCGAAGAGCAGAGCAGGCAGGGCACTGAGTACCAGCAGCAGGATAGCTGGCAGCAGGTGGCTCCACACCACAGCCACCACAGGCCACAGGGAGCTCAGCAGGTAGGAGCCCGTGGTGAAGAGTGCATGACATAACATCAGGGACAGCAGCAGGTAGAGTGTCCCCTCCAGAACCCATAGCATATGCTGTAGAGGTTGCCGCCAACCTGATGTATTCCACCACTGAGACCAGCTCCGGGGCAAGTGGCATGCCCACCAGCGCACCCAGTCCTGACGGGTGACCCAGGCTGACCAGGGCACTGCCCGCTGGGGTCCCTCGCCAGCCCCGATGATATCCGTCTCCACTCGTGGCTGCTGCATCACGGCTGGTGCACCTGTGGACAGGGCCAGGCCAGCTGCAGGAGCAGCCCTGGAGATGCCCAGGACCTCAGGATAGGTAGGGTTGCAGGGGTTAGGAGGATACCAGCACAGGCAGGATTGGGGTTTGATCTGGGGCCTAGTACTTACCTTTGGGCAGAGCCGCCTAAGTCATGATGCTTCCTGCTGTGCCCAGGCCAGCCTGGCAGCCAGGTCCCAATCTCACCCTCACTCAGCCCAACCATCCCTCAGAGGAGTCCATTATGACCCGGGCTGGGGCGGGGCCCAGCTGACAGGAGCTACTGCATAGTGTGAGGCTCTCTTGAGTCCCTTACTTATGGACCCTCTAGGCTAGCAGGAGTTTCAGTAAACTTTACAGAAACCAATCTCCTTGCTTATAGGAAGCCTCCTCCGCTCCTGTCCCTCCTTGATGGCTGCCTCAAACTGCAGGGCTGGAGTTGGTTGCTGTATCCACCCTTTTCTCTGCCTTCTCTTGTTGCCCTAAGCCTCAGCCCCAGTTCTCAAATGTCGATACTATGGAACTAGAGGCCTCTGAAGTTCAAGCTGAACACAATGGAGTATTCTACCCTCACCCCACCACCTTACCCTCATGTAGCTCAGCATGGAGGAGAAGAAACCTGGGGAAGCAGAATGGCTGGTGTATTTTTAGAAGGCATTCAGTTTTCAGAGGGCCCTCAGGCCCAAGGATGGAGGCAGAAAGCCAGGCCCAGCAGGGCTAAGGGTATACCAGAGCCTCCCAAAAACAGACCCAGGCCCAAGAACAGCAGGAGCAGTGCATCCTGGAACCTGAGTAGTCCTGAGACCAGCCCTGTGTGGAAGAGGGCAGCTGCCTGCTGTCCTGGACCTTCACCAGCCCCCTGGCTCTGACCCATTGGAAGAAGTCTGTGTCGTGGCAGGATAGGACCTGTGGGCCTGTGGAGAGAGAAGAGGGCAGGTCAAGGCAACTGCTCATCTGTCCCTGTGCTTGGGATACCCACCTGGCAGCCTCCTGTCACTTACCCATGGAGCAGGTCAAAGGCCAGGAAGCTGACCAGAAGTAGGAGCAACAGGGCTAGGCCAGCTGTCGAGAAGACTGTTCGAATTGTCGCTCCTAGTGCCCCCAGCCCTAGGATACTGTCCAGGAGCCGGGCCCAGCTGAAGCCCCAGGGGACACACGAGTCACTGACCTATTCTACCCCTCTCAAGTATCCAGACTGCTGGGAGGGTTAGGGTGGGGTCTACAAGAGCTTTGGGTATGGGCAAGCAGAGCTGGGGCTTGGAAGTATTAGGAAGAGCTAGTGGTAGGAGATTAAGGAAGCAGGAAAAAGGAAGACCTTGGTTTACACTCAAAGCTCAAAGAATTGAGAACTAGGCTCTTCGTAGATGCCCTCCACCCCCAACTTCCATTCCACATCTTCACTAAACCCTTCTCACCTCCTCCCACTTGGGTTGACCATTCTGGATTTGAACACTGAGTCATTGTGACTTATTGCCAGGCAGGACCTTGAGTTAAGAACAGAACAACAGTTTGTCGCCTCATAAGCACTGGGAGCCTAGGTGGGGCTTAGCCAGCAAATCATTGTTTACTGAGAACTACAACTCACCCTTAGTTATTGCCTTGCCTAATGATTTTCTGCCCTGGGGACTTCCCAAGGTTTCTGGGTTGTCAGGAAAGCATGCTAGCAGCATGACTCCTCAGACTCCTGCCCAAGGGAGGAGAGGCTGCTTCTTCCTGGAAGATCCTCAGGCTATGTGTCTGGAATGTCATTCAGTTTTTCTGTCTCCAGTTCTCTTCCCTGAACTTGAGTGAGGCCTGCAACTCAGGGGTGCGAATAGACTTTTCCAGGAAGCAAGCTAGGCTGTGGGTGGCAGAAGGATGCCATTGGATGTGAACGGAGACTACACTTTCATTTCCCAGCTGCCCAGATCCAAATAATCACACAGAAGCTATATTAATTACAACGTTGTTGGACTGATTGCTCAGGCATATTTCTAGCTAGCTCTTACATCTTAAATTAGCCCATTTCTATTAATCTGTGCATTGCCACAGGACTGTGGCTTACCGGTGAGGTTCTGGCATCTTTCTCCTTTTTCAGCTACATAGCATCTGCCTGCTTGCAGTTTAGTTTTCCCACTTACCCACATTCTGCCCTGCCATAGCCCAATGCAGGTTCTTTATTAACCAATGGTTTTAAAACATATTCACAGCATACAGAGGGGAATCCCACATGAATTGGATGTTTTAAGCACTGCAGTTTTGGGAGATGTTATGGTTTCAGAAATGTTACAGAGAACTGGGCATGGTAGAATATGCCTTAATTTCAGTGCTCAGAAGGCTGAAGCAGAAAGATTGTGAGTTTAAGACCAGCCTGGACTATATAAATAGGTGCTGACCAGAGAAATTAAAAAAAAAAAAGACAGAGGTTATGAACCTAAGAGGCCTACAACATTGTGACCCCAAGTTATTCAGTACCAGGCGTCTGTTCATGTGTTCCAGGCTGCTCTTGAAATCTCCAGGTAATGCAGGCTGCTCTCTAACTCTTGGCGATTCTCTGCCTCCTCATTGTGAGTGCTAGGATTGCAGACATGCACTGCCATGCTTTGCATACACTCCTAATGGGAAGTTAAGGCTGCCACCTAAGAATGAAATTAAGGAATGAACATGAAATAAACAGGTTGATCACCATCACTGGTGACATTTATTGAGAATAAACGTATTCCCACTGAATCTATGGGGGCAGTGGTTACAGAGCTACTAAATACATGGACAGTCTGGGGATGAAAGATGAGTGAAGTGACATAAATTTAAGTATTACTCATACTTTGAAGGAAAACTGATGGGGTTGGGATAGGGGAGACATTGATGTTATAGCCCCCAGAAAAAGGAGAGACTGAGTAAGAATGATAGAAAGGACATGGAGCTGCCTCCCAGGAGGCCTTCCCCAAAGACCCAGAGCCGGTGGTCTTGGCATGTTTGGTGCTGATGGACCTGACACTATAGAGCCAGTGTCATTTGCCCTTAACTCATTCACGAGTTGTCCTTCCACTGGCTTTTGTTTGCCTGGGAACTGTGTTTCACATATAGATTTGTCTATAGGGACTTAGGAGATAGCACAGGATCCTGTTTTTGTTTTCTGTCTAAGTCTTCATTGCCTTTGTAAATGAGAAAATTAGCATTTAGGTTTTAAATTGCCAGTTCTGGTGCAGCCACAAGATTGCATCCCTGAACTATGGAATTGAGAGTCACGTCCCAAGAGTTCTACCGAGAGGAAGTTGCCACTCTGCAAGGGATTGGGGCTGGGGTGTGCAACTAATACTCCTTAAGGCTTCATGTGCGATGTTGTGTATAATTTGTAGGGGAGTTCTACTTGAAGTTTTCTCAATTTTTTCATCCAATAATAATTTATAAAGTGATCCCCATGTGCCAGGTCATGTGCCTATTGTTGGATTATGACTCCTAAGACAGACTAGGGGCTCTCATGCAGATGTTCTGCTGAGAGCTTGGAGTTGTCTTCAGAAGGAAAAAAAAATTAAGAGATGAGAAAGGAGGACAGGATAGAGGAAAGGGTAGCACATGGTCTTGTCTGGGATCCAGTCTTAGCTTGACTTTGAAGGTAGCTCTGAGAACAGTCAATTGTGCTGTAGAGTTGATCCCGTTATACCAGTCAGCCATTGTTGATCTGTCTTTCTTGGAGGAAAGGGAAGAAAGAGAGAGAAGTTGGGGAACTGTAACTTTTAGTGTAAAAGCAACTTCTATCTGCTGAGGGCTCTTGTTTGTAGAAATCAAACAGCTATGATTTATGCATAGCAAACAATAATGAGGGTGGGTGCAATGTTGGTAAAAGGGACCTCATGGGGAATCAACAGCTACAGCAGTCGATCTCGTAGTAAAAGATTCAGCAAATCTGGATGATTTGTATCATGTTCATCCGTGAAAACTATTTGATTTGGGGCTGGAGTAGAGCTTGGTGGTTAAGAGCTCTTCCCACTCTTCCAGAGGAGCATAGTTCAGTTCCTAGCACCCACATCAGGTGGCTCAAAACTGCATGCAACTCCAGCTGTAGGGGATACAACACCATCTTCTGACAACTCACACACACACGCGCGCGCGCGCGCGCGCACACACACACACACACACACACACAAACCTCAGAGCTGGTTGGCTCTATGGAGCTAGTCTCTAAGTCCTTGGAATGTGTTTGCACAGAAGTCTTGAACTACATCAAATAGTCTATGCCAACAATATGATTTTTGTTGGGGGCTTAGACCAGAAATCAGGATTACCTTGGCCTCTACAATGTTTGGACTATCATCAACCAATCACATGGGTGGTCAACTGTATTTGTATGACTGATCTCCAAAAAAATTCTGGACTCCAAAGGTTCAGTGAATTTTTCTTACGAACAGTGCTTGGTGCATGTTGTCTCACGTACTGCTGGAAGGATTAGGTGCTGGCAACCCGATTCCATTTTCACATAAACAATGGAAGCTCATACACAATCTTCCCTGTACCCTGCCGTTTACAGTCTTCTGTTGTGAGTTTTAATCTGTCCGCAACCTTTCTTTGTCATAATCTGTGAGCATTAGTATAACCACTTTGGGGAATTCTTCTGATAAACCATTGAAAAAGAGAGCGGTCTTGGGGACTCCAGAACAGCACTGGCATCCAAAGTAGGATTCACCAGGACAGTGCTGAGTCACTAAAATAGGATGGGATCACGAGTTGAGAGAAAGGACAAGAGGGAGAGACTTTGATTCCCAGATGGCTACTTAGTCATCCCCAGCTTGGAAATGAAGCAGCCCCATGATCAGTTGCTGGAGGTCAAAGTTATCATTGGAATTTATTGATGACAGCTAACTCCTGGGGGAGTTGTTTAGGAAACTGTCCAGAAAGTAGAATAATTAACCAAAACCCCAAAAACTTTTTAAAAAGTTAACAAAAGTAGAGGACAAAGAATACTTGAAAGTTAGTTTTAGAAATTTCAGATAAAATCATAAAAGCTTTTTCTGAAGCAATGAACTTTATGGATGTTATTCAAGGGAATGGGGCTTTTCAAGCACCCCCTTCTCTTATGGAGGCCTGGGATGAAAATTATGACAGGGGACATATGTTGGGGGTTGAGTTGGGAGAGGAACGCCCCAGCAGCCAAGGGCCTTACTCCTCCTTTCATGTCCTTCCTGGCGGGTGGTCCAGGCCTCCTTATTCCTTAGAGGCCATGTGGACCATAAGCTCCACCCCCTGCAGTTGTAGCTAAATTCATTGTCATTCCAGGAAATGAACTTGACAAAGTTGATATTCAGAGCAATGTCAGCCTCAGCATTAAAGATGAAAGAGTGGGTGTCACTGCTAATATCACAGGAAACAGCCTGTTCTTCCTCATATAGCCCCAAATGTCCTTACGGCCCTCTGGTACCTGCCTCACCACTTTTTAAAAACAATTTTCAGTTTATTTTCTGTCTAAGGGTGTTTTGCCTGCATATATGTCAGTGCATCACATGTGCCTGACGCCCAAAGAGATCAGAAGAGGATACCAGATCCCCTGGGACTGGAGTTACTGAGGGTTGTGAGCCACTTTGTGGGTTCTGGGAATTTAATTCAGGTCCTCTGTGAGAGCAGTAAGTGCTCTTAATCACTGAGCTTCTTCACCATCTTCTTGATGTCTTTGTACTTGGCAGCTTTCTCAGGTGGCAGGTCAGATCTACAACACACACACATTGTGGTTAGGAATATTGAAGACCATGCCAGTGAGCCCCCTGCTCAGCCCTGACATGACCTTGCCCACAGCCTTGGCAGTGCCAGTGGATGCAAGGTTGATGTTCTAGGCAGTCTCACAACCATCACACCACACTTTCCCAGAAGGGTTAACCGTGTGTGTGTGTGTGTGTGTGTGTGTGCATGCGCGCGTTTGATGGTAGTGATATCATGTGCTGTGGTCATGAGTCCTCCAATGATGCAAAAGTTGTCACAGATGACCTTGGCCAGGGGACATAAGCAGCTGTTGGTACAGGAAGCTTTGTTGACAATCTTGAGCAAGTGCCATGCTTCTTTTGGTTCATTCTATCACAAACAAGGCAGCAGCAGAAGAGTTAGAGAAGATGACCTTTGCCTCCACTCCTCAAGGGGCCCTAGCCCTCTCCATGGTGGTGAAGACACCAGTTGGCTCCACTGGTCTTTGGCACCAGTGTCACCCCATTTGATATTGGCAGGATCCTGCCACTGGAAGACGGAATTGTCTTCCCATTGATGACAGATTTCTTATTCTCAGTTGTGATTATTCCAGGGAACTTGCTGTGGGTGGAATCATACTGGAACAAGTAGACCATGTAGTTGAGGTCTTTGATGGCAACAGTATCCACTGAACCAGAGTTGAAGGCAGCCCTAGTGACCAGGCTGAACAAGGAGGATGAAAGAGCCTAAATCACAGAACTTTTAATAAAATGGGTGTGGTGAGAAATACATTCCTGTAATTCCAGTACTCTTTAGGCAGAGTTAGGTGGATCAGATATCCAATGTCATCCTCAGGTGCATAGAGACCTGTGGTAGTTTGAATGTAATTGACTCCTAAGCTCATAGGGAGTGGCACTGTTAGCAGGTGTGGCTTTGTTGGAGTAGGTGTGGACTTGCTGGGGGAAGTGTGTCACTGTGGAGGTGGGCTTTGCGGTCTCTTATGCTCAAGTTATGCCCAGGGTCTCAGTTCACTTTGTGTTGCCTTCGGGTTGAGATATAGAATGTTCAGCTCCTTCTCTAGCATTATGTTTGCCTGCACACTGCATGTCCCACCATGATGATAATAGATTGGAATTCTGAAATGTAAGCCACCCAATCAAATGCTTTCCTTTATAAGAATTACTGTGGTCATGGTATCTCTTCACAGCAATGGAAACCCTAACTAAGACAAGACCAGTCTGGGCTACATAGAGCCCATATAGTCCTACCAGCTCATATCATTGAAATTAAAATTACTGGGGCTTCCTGCACAGAAAAAGATGACATACATACAACCAAAAAGGCAAAATGGTACCAGAATTTTGCTTATTCGTTATATTCTTTGTTTTAATGTTTCATTTTGAGATCAAGGCTTGTTATCCTGCTCATGCTGTCTTTGAACTCTTGATCCCAGCTTGTCCCTTAAACTAAAATCTCCTTTGGACAGCTGCCCCATCCAACCTACTAGGCTGTTCCCTGAAACATATACTTGTCCCTGTGGTACCCAAAGATCCTACATGATGCTCTTGGAGATAGAGACCATGCTATGCATGGGATGAACTTTATATACTTTATGGTATAAACTTGCCATTGTATCCCTGGGATGGATCATCATCATTTGAATCTGTGTTGAGGCCTCTTGCCTTGGCAGTCCCAAATACCCAGTGGCCAGGGCCGGAGGCAGTAGCCTAGTAAGAGAGGAGTATGAGAAGATGCAGAGCAGCTCAGGACCAAGAGGGGCATAAAGGAGCTCGGAGGAAGAGTATAGAAGGAGGGAGGAGGGGCTGAGTCTGAGATGTCCTGTTGCTGGTACTTCTCTCTCCCCTTTCCAGCTCTCTCTGGGAAACCTGGTTGAGAGTGGGGCTTCTGGTGGAAGTCCAGAACCTCTGCCTTTTTCAGATACTGGCCTGCAACGCAAGGATGCACTGAGTCTGCTGTCTTGCATGTGTGCAGTGGCTCCGTGTTCACAAAGTCTGTGATTTAAAGCCCAGCCCGTTAGCGTCTGCTGTCAACCTGATGCGTCAGAGAGGAAAACCTCAACCAAGGAGCTGCGGAGATAAGGCTGGCCTGCGGGGAGATGTCCTGATTGTTTGTGCATGAGGGCCTTGCCACTGTGGGCAGCACCATCCCCTGGACAGATAGTCCTAGGCTTTATGAAAGCCAGTTGAGAATGGGCCCGATAGCTAACCAGCAGGGTTTTTCTCCTGTTTCTATTTCAAGCTCCTGCTTGAGTTTTGCCTCCACTGCCCTGGATGAATCTACAAATGAAAATAAATCTTCTTATTTGCAAACTTGCTTGTGGTGTGTGTTTCATCAGAAGTTCCTTAAACGTCTCTATGCCCCTCTTTGAGGAGACCTGGGCCTAGCACAGCTGCTCAGGTGGGGGTGTCAAAAAGGGATTTGGTCATGCGTTGGTTCTTGGTGATCACTCCCTTCTCAGAGTTCCCTGCCCCTCTCTCTGGAGTGTCACGGTTGGACCAGATGGCAGGGCTGGTTCCCTTGGAGTGGTCGCTTCTGAAGGTGGCCTTAGTTCAGGAGCCCCACACGTGGCCTTATGCATTTCTGCCAGATTCTGGTTTTGTGAATGCTGCCAGAGAAGTGCTGACTTGATAAAGACGTTATTTAATTTGTTTACATAGACTGTGGCCCCTGTACCCTTCTGTTAGGGGTCCCAGGCTCCGGTGGGCAACACTTCTTGTGGGGATGCAAGCAAAGGCAGAACCACAGAATTTTCTTTTGGGCGGGTGGCTCAGGTGCAGGGTAACCCAGAGTGGTCCTGGGGAAAACAGGGGTCTGAGGACTTGTGGAGGAAGAAAAGAGGAAGAGGGGGAGGAGTTGGGACAGGGAGAACAGGGCGCCCATCAAGCTTTGGCCTCTCGGTTCTTGACGCCAGCCCTCGGGTTATCAGCTCTGGCTGCCTTCCTCGAGTTATGTAAGCTCCAAAAAACGTGGCAGCCCAGGGAGGGAAAAAGAGAAGGGGCGGAACCGAGGATGGTGGTGACGAGGGCAAGAGCTGCCTCTCTACACTCTATGGGTTGGTTGTCTTTGGGATTAATGGAGGACTTCTCATCCCTGCCTCCCCCCCCCCCCCCCCCCCCGCAGCCCTGAACCCTCCTTCACTCCCACTGTTTTCCAGAGGACTTTTCCGGTTTAGTCCCACACACCTCAGCAAGGCACCCGAGGTTCTGGATAGAGTTTCCTTTCAGGTTGTTTCCTCTCCAAAACTGGGCTACCTTGACCACATCACCTAGGCGCCGCTCTGAGCCTCGGTTTGCCAGTCTGTAAACTGAAGTTTGACTAAAATTCAGAGCACGTGCAAAGCGCCTTGCATAGGTGCCTGCGGTGGGATGGGCGCGCGCAGTCAAATGGAATGTGCGGTGGCTTCGCAGACTGTGACGGGCCGGGCACCGGGGAGGCTGCGGCACTGGGTTCCTGGTGCGGCACTGGGTCCTGGGCAGCCCCCAGCCCGCCGCCGTCGCCGGGGTTCCTCGCGGCTCACCCGAGTCCGCCGCCACGGAGGGACCTCGGGGCTCTCCCCAAGCCGCCCTCCCCTCTCCAAGGAGGTCGGATTCCGGCGAGTGGCTGTGGGCGGGCCGGAGGCTGCAGAGGGGCGTGGGGCGGAGGAGAGGGGCGGGCAGGAAGGGGCGGGGGGCTCCGCGGACGCCCGCAGGAAGGAGAGAACCCACCGAGAGCCTCAGCACCGCGGGCTTGC